AATACAACAATCATCCTTTTTCTTTTCTCCATCCTTTCCAGCCAATGTCTGAGAAAGAATTTTACCCTGCTCACACTTATTTTGGCTACAACATCTTTCTAAGAGTCCTTTTTTTTTCCTCCATCATTGTACAAATCAGCTCCCAATTTCTGTTTGCCTCCCCCTTACTACTTCCTTCCAACACCCTCTCTCCTGCTTGCACTATCACCCTCTCTCTTGCATCAGAACCTCCTGGATGGGAAGCTGGGTAAGAACTGCAAATGGGGTAGCAGATTCATAGCAGGGAGTAAATAGGCAAAATCTTTTCTGGGCATACTTGTAAATGCTGTTACTGATTGATACTGGAATCTGCCAACAGTTGTATTAAATTTAAAATTTTAATTATTAATGAAATCCTTTTGCTGATCAAAAAGTGTTCATTAATTTTTACATTTATGATAAATTTTGAGCAACATAATTACATAGTGAATCTCTGTCTGCAAATGTTGGTACAATTTCTTTATACATTCTCATTTTGCTTAGTCTCTTGATTCTAACTGTGTATTTTGAATTTTCTGATGCCACAGACCTTTGCATGCATGCGTGGCCACTTGGAATGCGGATGTTGTGAAAAGATGGGTAGAAGTTGCATCTCAAGAAGAGATTGCTGAAGCAATTGATATACCAGGTCCATATGGAACTGCATTGTGTATGGCAGCCGCTTTGAAGAAAGACCATGAAACTGGTAAAACTTTGACTGCCTGAATATATAATTGAATATAATTTGGATATTTGATTAATTATTGAATAAATATGGTTAATGATAGGTATCAAAAAAAGTTAATGATAGGTGTTTTTAGCTTCTCCCAAGGAACTGAATTTTCCCCACTTCCCAAGGAACTTTTTTAGTTATCTTAGTTTTTGAAACAGTAACCTATCTTTTTTTTTGACAAGTGAGTGCAATATTTGTATTAATAATATGAGGGTGAGACTCCCTCAAGCACAAACGTGTACAGGCATCATATTTCTGACCATATTGTGTAATGAGTATAACTATAACAAGTGTCCATTGCCCAAAAAAAGTTGATTCTTTACCATTGAAAATGTTATGCTTCTAGTGGTTGCTAAAATGCTGATGATATTTGAAACCCACAAACTCCTTGCAGTGGCTTGACCACTGGATCTTAGATCTTTTTACCTTTTTTTTTGATAAATTAGATCTTTCTACCTTCCCCATAACATATTCCTTAGTGGCAACTCTTCTTTGAAAGATTTTGGTGCTGCACTCTTTCCATACAGTCCAACATATTGCAAAAGATTCCACCTTCAATTATACAAGTGACTGAAACTTTTAGATGGCCATGAGAAGATCAAGCTCCGAGGGCCACTTGGATCCACCCACTGTTTCTTGCAACAGATAGCAAGAAGCGCCTATTGGATGTATATCTTGCACTTATATAAGGAGATACTACACAAAAAAATCTTTGGCAAAAAGTGTTGTTTATGCCTATCATCTTTATATAATGATTCAAAATTAAAAGAGACTGATAGGAGTTTGAGGGAGTTCCCAGGAACTGTCATAGTATAATCTTGACCACTAATTCTGGACCTATAGGACGGGGGGGGGGGGTTCAACAAGGGCTGAATTATATCCAGAACTTACTGGTAGAAGGAGAGTAAGTTACTCAAAGGTGGTAGTGGTTTGTAAAATTAAATTTTGATGATTGCAGTTTGGGTAATCCAGGATGTTCAGGTATAGGAGGTGTATTTAGAGATGAGGAGGGAAAATTCATTGCATTATACTCTGGGCCAGTTGGGGAGGGAGACTCTTTGAGAGCAGAGGTGATGGCTGTGGTAGAAGGCATATCAAAGGCAAGGATGAGGGGCATTACTAAATTATTTGTGGAGGGAGACTCCAAGCTGCAAATCAATTGGTTGCAAGAAGAGGAGATGAAAGTGTGGCTCTTCAACAAACAATCAAGTGGCTAACCAAAGATATGGAACTAAGAGTTGGATGGGTTAAGAGAGATGCTAATTCTGTAGCTGATACTCTAGCTAAACAGGGGGTGGGGAGAGATTCTTTGTTCCGGGCACAGGTGCAAGGGATTTGGGGTGGATGGGGGAGAGATAAGAGGTTTTATCTCTTACAGTCGCAGTCTTTGTGCTGTACTTCTATGTATTGTACCTTCTATTTCTTGCATAATCTAATGAAATCTTAAAAGTTATTGATCAGAAAAAAGGTGATAGTGGGTTGGCTCAAAAACTGTACTATAGGATCATGGAAATGCGGATATATCATGAGGAAAATTGTATCCTTGGTTATGGAGCTAAGAGCTACACTCTACTGGGGAAACAAAGATAAATTGTTTTGTGGAAATGTTCCTCATGGGAGGGGATTGTATCATTGTAACAAACATTGATTGGGAATGGTAGCTGGTTCTAGCTTATAATAAGAGATGCTAGACACAGTTCATGTGCATTGTTATCTCATTTGTTTATTTCATTTGATGGCTATTATTTCATTTTTTCTCATTGTTGACTTAGGTTTGCCAAAGCAATATATATTTTTTTTGTCATCCAAAAAAAAAAAACGATTATTTGCACTCATACATTCTTCTAGAGCATTCATTACCAGAATAGGGGACTGATCAGTTCTCTCAGGAAGTAGGGATATAGGGAGAAGGTAGGTTGTTAGAATCTTATCTTTTGTTTGAATTTGAAGTAGGTGGCTGGGGAAACCTGTGATATTGGGGTTGCTTTATTGGAGGGATTTGGTATCTAGGAGGTCTCAGGTTAGTGATTGGTATTGGTGGTTTCAGGCTTGATGCTCTGGGCTGCATAGTTGTAAATCTTTGTACAGGGCCAAAGCAGTTGCTTGTTTTTGGTTCTGGGTCAGCCCTCTTTTTGTTTCTTTTGTCTAGTCCCCATGTTTGTATTTTCTTTTCCTCTCAATAGCTACTAAAACTTGTTATCTTTCAGAAATGGTTATATTTGATATCCATTGTATTTTTGGATATGAAAGTTGTTTAGTGGTCAGTAGTTGGAGCTGAAGGTGGGTTAGAAGCCCAGGTTTTTTCTTAACACCTCCACCAAACCTGGGGGAAAAGTAATTTGATATCTTTATGACTTGAACATAGTAACTTGTACATGAACATATCTTATAGAGCTGGATATTCAAGGTACCAGATGGCAGTTTGCAAATGCTTAGAGGCATTTTATATGACAATAAACTTATATTCTAGATATGATATTCAAAAGTTATGAAACATATCAAGCTCAAAAAAAAAGGCAAGAGGTGTAGATAACATTAAAGGAGTAGAGTTTTTTTTTTTTTTTTAAATACTTGACTGCCTTTTGGAAGGAAATCCATTTCCATTAGTCATTGCCTTGCACTTGTTAGGATAACCACTTATCTTACTTTCTTTACCCCTATTCCATTTTCTGTTTTTCATTGTTCTTATTTATCCCTTTTAATTTCATTCTATTCAGAGGGTCGAGAATTGGTGAGAATATTGCTAGCTGCTGGAGCAGACCCAACTGCCCAGGACTCACAACACGGGCGGACAGCTTTGCATTCAGCAGCTATGGCTAATGATGTTGAGTTGGTCAAGGTAAGCCAAATGTCTTCCCAATTTCTGGAATCTAGCAACATTATGCTTTTATTTTCCTTAAGATATATAGTCAAATTCTCCTTGCAGACGTCTTATTTACTTGAGATATTTTGGCATTTTTGAGTAGATTATTCTTGATGCTGGAGTTGACGTAAACATCAGGAATGTCCATAATACGGTACCTCTTCATGTTGCACTAGCCAGAGGTGCAAAATCATGTGTTGGCTTGCTCTTATCTTCTGGAGCAAATTGTAATTTGCAGGTTAGTCTCAGTTAAATTGTTGTCATCCTTCCTATGAACTCACTTTCATTTATTTATTTTTTTTTTGTAAAAGTTGTGCTTTAAGAAAAAAAATATGTAGTCAGAAATAGACCTGTTCATGGGGAGCCCATCGGTTTTGGCTTTACACTGCTTCGGGCTGGGCCCCATTCAAATTTTGGCAAAACCTGAACCCGAGCCCAGCCCATGAACAGGTCTAGTTAGAAACATGGGGCCATAGCCATTACTTGGTTAAATGGTAAAATTTTGGGCGGGCAAGTGTGAGAATGCATGATCGAGTCTGAGAGTGGCCACTTTGTGTAAAAACTACCAAAGGTTAGGAGGTTCTACTAGGGATGGCAACGGGTAGGGTACCCACGAAAATTGCTCTTCCCATTCTTGAACCCATCTAGGTACCCTTGATCTTAAACCCATTTAACTTTTCCTCTCAATTTCCCAAACCTGTCTCACCCAATTATCATTTGACATATCATATTATTGTTATCATTTTTCAAATTTGAAATTTAATTTTATTTACCTTAATTAATGCCCACTAAACTCACTACAATTGATTATATTTAACATTCCATTTACCATAATTAACTGCATAACCAACCTTATTTAACACACCACCTATAACATTAATTAGTTCCACTAATTATTTATATCTCATAATTAGCTCAATTAATTCCATTGAAGTTTATTTAAAATCAACCCTACATAAAACAACTATGTTGTTTGAGTATTTGAACCTAGGTTTCTTAATTGAAACATAAATATTCTAACCACCAAACCATTCCCAGTGGTTTAAAAGGTGCACCTAGGCGCATAGTCGAGGTCCATTTTAGGGTAATTTGCCTCGCCTAGGTCCTAGGCACAACACTTTCAAAAGGTGTGCGCTTGGTGCACCTTGCACTTTAGCCTAGGCATGTGTCTTTTGAGAACTTGTGCATTTTCTTCTGTTTTTTTTTTTTTTTTTTTTTGTACCAAAGCTCCGAAACCCCATATTTGCTCATTTTGCTCATTTATTCATCCTAATAATAGATATTTTTAAAAGACACTTAAAAGTTATAAAACCTTTTTTATAGGGATTAAGAATTTAAGACCTTGATATGGACTTGTTTGGGCTTGCCTCGAGGGGCTTGGTACAAAGGCGGCTTGTAGAATTAGGAATGCATAATGTTTAACATCACATTAGTTATTTGAAGTAATGCAATTGGGAAAAAAATTAAGTGATTAAGAGTTTACATGCTTGAATATGTTTTATATGTTATGCTTGATTTTTTAAGTTTTCATTTTAAATATATTTTACATATTATGTTTGTGATTTTAATTTGAGATAATAGTTTTTAATTATTTTTTAAAGTTAAGTTTATATTTTTAATTAATATTGTGTTTAATATTTTTAATAGTTTGAATTTTTTATATTTTTTGGTTTTTTGAAAAACTTGCCTTTTTTATTTTTTTTTCACCTTCATTCAAAAAGGTGCATGCCTCACCTTGTGCATTGTGCCGCGGGTGCAAAATGACCCTTGTGCTTTCTTGCACCTTGTGCTTTTAAAGCCCTGACCACTCCACATTATCTTGCTAAATTAGCATTTGATAAGCACCATATTATATCCATGTGTTAAAGTACAAAAAATTCATTTTTAGATATCTGGGTTTCGAGCCATAATCAAAACAGCTCTAAATGCTTTTGCCTCTATAATCGCAATTGTCCATTGAAGAAATTTTTTTGGATGACTAATTTCATATGAGAATGTAATTTTTTACTATGACATCATTTCCTTGGGATATTTTGATAGTTTACACTTCACATTTTGCTAAAATTACACTTCACATAAAGTCATAAACTATTAAGATACATGTTTCTTATGTATGGTTATTAGAGGTGTAGATGATATATAATTCATTTATTTTTAATGTATATTTGAATTTCCATGGTGTATCCATGTGTATCTTCATTTTGCCACCGTATCCGTGCATATCCAAGTGTATTGTTGAGTGGGCTGATTTATGTTGGGCCGATTTATGTTTAGTTTGTTTTCTTTTAAATTAAGAAGTTGTTGGGCCTTGGGYCCATTAGTCTTTTATTTTTAAAAGAATTGTAAGTACTTAGTTGAATTGTCGCCCTACTAGGGTTATGTATCACTATCCTAGTCGACCTTCTTCTCCTTTTC